TGAAATGATCGCAGAGTTACGCACGGTGTGTAGAAATGGTGTGTCAGCATTATGGATCAGTGTGCCAAATGACCTTTGTAAACTGCCCAAAGCTTTTTTTTTTCTCCAACCATAAAATGATCACTTTAACAAGATGGCTGGTGTAAATCTTATCCTGTCAAAAAGAGGCGCCTTGTAAAATCATCAAATGGTTCTTTCCATAGTGCTCTGTGTCTGTTTACAATGCATGGGGGAATTGTGTGTAAACGGGGCAGATTGATTGATTTTACTTTCAAATAATTTCCTAAAGCTAATCAACCCTTGGTTTACCATTTATATTGATTTTTACAATAATATTCTGTATGGCTGTGTCTGACATAAGGTATTCTTTGTATAGACAACAGATGGAGTGTGTATTTTCCCAAAACTGGACTACGATGTGCCATCCGAAGCTTGAGAATAGTATGTTAGTAGTGGATCATTTGAGTTTATTTCTGTACACATAATTGGATTATCGAGCAGACACAAATTCTTGAGTGGTTAGTACACTTGCCTGCAGCACTAGGGGTACTTTGTTTAATTCCCGCATAGAGTATGTATTTTCTCTCCATGTTTCTTTGGTGTTCTTCCATAAACCAAAAATTTTTTCATTGGCTTTTACTCATATGAGCCCTAGTGTGTCTGCATTTGTCTATGACAGTGGTAAAGACAGTCAGAGACTGACATATGAATCATGTGAATGATTAATTGCTCTCCATAATGCCCCATAGAATATATCAGTGCTTAATAGATAACTAAACCCAGAAACAACAAATAAGATGTGGTTGGTGCACGGTTTTTATTTTTTAGGCTTAAACATTTTGAGCAAGTACAGAAGAAAGTGTTGACATTGCCAGAAGTACAGTGCCCTTGTCATTTAATGGAAGATGAGCTGAAAGTACAAAACAATCATTTCTTCCTTCTCTAAACTTCTCATCAGGCTATCCCTTGTGTAATAAAGATAAATAAAGGCAGTCATGTTTGATGTCCAGCCTGGGCGGCAAACGTGGCATCCTCCATAGGTCCAATGGAGGGGTGAGAGTAGCCACCCAGGGACAGGAAGTGTATTATGTAGAGAATAACCAGGTAAAAATAAAGGAAAAAAAAGCTTGAAAATAATAAAATTAATGTAGACATCAAATCTAAGGGCTGGTAAGCTGCATTGCATTTTGTGGGCTTTGATATACTTTAATAAATGTGTAAAATAAATAATGTGGTCATTGTTTATCTGTTTTGCTTTGCCTGCTTCTATTGACTTTGTAATATATAACTGGTATTTAGTGCAAACAAACAGAACCTTGTAATGAGGCAGCGAGTCTTCTATCAATACCGGTATGCGGTGTCATAGAGGAAAGGATGCAGCCTTTAGAGGAAGGTGTGCTATATCTGTAATGTTCTTATTGAACAGAGGATATTCTTATCTTAAATGACTCATGGTAATTTGAGTTTTCAGTGTTTTAAATAATAAACTGACTTCACCCATCCTGTGAAAAAAAATATACTTCTTGTATTAAATGTCCCTGTTTTCATCTTTATAATGATGATTTAGGTTGACTATAATTTTGGGTAGTATGGAATCCAATACCAGAAATTTGAAAGCATATATGAAAGTCGTTTTACCTGCCAAGGATTTGTATTTCTCTCTATTCATTTCTGAGAGTTACGCAGGCCTACCAGACAGCTGTTTTTTTGAACGAGCCCAGACCTTCTCCCATTCTGTTTGCATGCCTGCAGGGACCCCGATGCACAGCAAAGGTTCCTGCTCAACCTTGTCAATCCATGATGCTAAAACACCTGCACACAGACGGAGACCTTCTCCAAATATCACTTTATTTAAATTCGGCATAAAAACAGCAAAGTAGCTGGCGCGTTTCAGCCCAAACCCTGTGCCTTAGTCATCGCTCCTAAGAGGACCAGGACGTGGAAAAACAGTAACTGTACAGTAAGGTTCCTGGGAGATAAAAACCAGTGGGCGATTCAGTCCCCCAGCCTCTTCTCAAAACCAAACCACCTTTTAAAATACCATCTTTATTAAACCTGACTGTTTTCAGGATTTTGTCTAAAGCTATGCAATTTTGCCTAAAGCTGAACCTATTTTTATATTTTCAGGCCTTATTATAGTTATTTTATTTTTCTTCCAGCTATCTGATTGGACCAAGATCGAAGACCTGAGATCCAACAGTAAACAAATATTTCTCAACCTCCAGTCCAAAGGCCTGAAAGGAGGAGGTAACTACATCTTGTCAAATAGTGCTTTCCCTAGTATCTCTCCTTGCTTTCCTGTTATGAGGCTATGGTATATGGTATGACATTGTATATCACATGGAGTGCCAAGCAGCAATGAATTTCCAAGATGTGTTGTGTTATTTTGCATGCTACATAGTTTAGGGGTCTAAAAAAAAAAAGGCAAATTGAGGTTGGACATGCATACAAATGGAACAGTAGTCCTATCAAATAAAAAGCACTGGAGTATTTTTGTGCTAACTGACCACGCCTTTTTTTATGGTGAAGCTTTTAGTAGATCTGGTTGGTACATAGATGGTATGAAAAAGTCACTCAACAATGTAATGTCTTACAGTTTTTGGAGTTTGGCATCTCCAGGAATACTTCCTATTCTGCAACAGTAGAGTTCTGTATGTGCACTCTTAGTGCAAGCGTTTTTTATTGTGATTACAGAGGAAACTACAGAGCTCCACTTAATGTAGAACCTTAGTGTAGCACTTAAACTTTGGCTTAAAGGAGAATTATGAGGCGAGTGATTTTCACTCAGCCTCCTAATCTGAGCCGACCTGTGACAATGAAACTGTCACAAGTCGGCTCAGTAGATCGGGAAGTGAGCGAACACATACCGTCGCTCACTCACTTCTCGATCTAACCCTGCAGAGAGTCGTGACTGTCACTCACAGCACCCTGCAGGGATTCCCACCCTCCCCTGTTCGATCCTCCAGCGCTGACTGGTGGAACAGAGGGGGGGGCACAGCTGGCTCTGCCTCTGGATAGGCAGAGCCCGCTTTCAATCCCGCAGCTGGGTGGATCTCGACAGCAATGTCTGGATCCGTTCCGGCTGCGGCGTCTCAATATACCGCGAGCTGTAGCTTGCGGTATACTGAGCTTTGGGTCACAGGAGAACGCTAGTTTGTGTTCTCTCGTGACCCTTAGGAGAAATATGGGGAAAAGCCCTTACCCCATAGTTCTCTTGTAAGAAGAAAATAATTTTGAATGGCTTTTATACAGTAGAGTGTATTGAGATGGTCTGTTGGCTGGCTTGTGTTTTGCTCAACTCCCAGCCCATCTGTTCTGTTATGTCATTTCTGACATGTTCCCCTTTAAGGAAAGTTTACAGGTTGCTCTTAAAGGAAACCTAAACCCAAGAACAACAAAAAATGTAATATATATTACATATTTTTTCAGGCTAAGAACATTATCAGCAAGTACAGAAACTACCTGTTTATCCTGCCAGAAGTGCAGTATCCTTGTCACTTTCTGTGAGCTGAAAAGAAAAAAGCTTAATGTGTAAACCACTAAGCTTAGTTCCATCATCCCCAATTAAGGGAATGAACATGGGTAGAAATGTCGGGCCTGGGTGGCAACTATAGCTATTTCCAGAGATACAGTGCATACACGAGCATAGCCACTTTAAAGCAGGAAGTGTGCTATTTTCAGAATTCCCATGGGGGGAGGGGAGCGGGGCATTAATGGAAAAATCTAATCATTCAGTATATTCAGGTAGGCAGCCGACCCAATTTTTGGGGGAAATAGCATTGCTGAACCTAGACCTGACCAACTGAAGCAACCCCAGATCATACTCTTACCTATTTGCTTAGCTAAATCCAGGTGGTGACTTTTTTATGGCTAGGTAGTGTATGAGATTTTTGGTGTTGGGTTTGGATATGCTTTATTCCCAGATAGCCCTAGATTTTAGGACGTGGGCCTCAATCTTGAACCTACAAAAACTTATTTGCAATATTCAGTTTCCTTTTCTAAAGTGTATAATAAAGAACCATTCTAGAAGGATATATACTCCCAAAAATATTTTTTTTTCTACTTTGTCTATAATTGTTTTAGGCGTCAATATGAAGGTTGGTAAATATATGGATTTGACTTTTTTCTTTGTATTTAAAACAGCTCCCTTTTCTCCCGCTCTGCCTTGCTGTGAATAAAACTGTGTTGTGATGTAAGAGTTTCCACAGATTTATTGAGACAGAAGTCGTGTACTATTTTAGTAATATTTGTGCCTTTTGTGTCAGGTAAATTTGGACAAACAACTCCACCGCTTGTTGATTTCCTCAAGGATATTTTAAGGAGATACCCAGAAGGAGGACAGATTCTAAAGGTAAGACTCTCCTTTCTATGCTGCATGATATGTCCGTATGCGAGAACCCGGGATACTGGTAGTAGCACCCAAGAAGTTTAATATTGAGCTTAGAATATCACGATAAAGGAGAAGCAAACTTCAGATCTATTTTGTACACCTAGAGCAAGTGAAATATGTGTCCTGTTTCTCCTGTAAAATTTCCATCTTCACTCACTGCATGTTGGGGCTTATTGTGGCATTGCCAACAACACTATCGTGCAATTACCCTGTTAATGTGACATTTGATGTCAGCTGTGCAGTTTGTGTCTACTCATACATTTAAGTGAAGTCCCTGAGCTGGCTGTACTGTCTGATGGGGGAAGTCTGCATCACAAGAATGACTTTAGTGGGTTACAAATTGTTGAGTCTATGTTAAGTTGTTTGCCTGGAGCTTTAATCAGACCATTGATGTTAATATAATTATAAGCTGTTATTTCTTAGAATTTGCATAAGGACGCCCTGGACTAGAAATTTTTTTGTTTGATGGAATGAATTGTTACTTTACATGTGTTAGACATAAAGACTTAATATTGTATTCTTACTGCAGGAACTGATTCAAAATGCAGAGGACGCTGGCGCCAGTGAGGTGAAATTTCTCTATGATGAAACACATTATGGCGTTGAATCTCTTTTCTCTAAGGATATGGCCCAATATCAAGGTCTGTATGAAGGGAAAGCACTCGTGCAGCTAAATGGGACACGTTATTTTGAGAATTGTTTCAAATGATACTGTATATGAAGTGGCATTAGGTATGAGATTTACACTAGAGCTAAATGCCGAAAGTGCCATTTTTGTGCCGATACATCGGCGCATCCCTGGTTTCTCTCCTCCCCGCTGGGCGCTGCTTAGTATCCCAGCGGGGAGGAGAGAAATGTGACAGCCGGCCGAGCGCTGCTGGAGGAGAGCGCTGTGAGCAGCCGGCGTCTCTCCTCCCACACCGCTCAGCCTTCTATCACAGTCCAGCATTGCGGTGTGTGGGTGGAGACAGCCAGCACTGTCACAGGAGGCTGAGCTCTCCTCCCTGCTCCGCTCTCTCAGCCTCCTGTGACAGCGTGTCAGGAAGGAGAGCGAGTGCTTGTAGATAATTGAGGACATAGCATGTTGACTATATCCTCAATTATGAATGAATGGGAGAGATCTACATCCCCTCCTGTCCATTCATAGTTGTAGTTATAGTAAACATTCTCTGTCCTCATGTTAACAGGGTATACAGAAAAAGAGATTGAGGACTCTGTGTGTCTCTGAGGACTTTGTGTCCTCAATCTCTTTTTCTATTTTAAAAGGGAAATATCAGGGGTCTGTTTAGACCCCTACTATTTCCCTGAAGCCCCTAAAAGTAAAGTCAAAAATTAAAATATTTAATAAAAAATGAATTAATAAAGAAAAATAAATATAAAAAAATTAAAAACAACTATAAAAAATAAAAATAAAATTATTTTTAAAATGTGAAAAAATGAAAATAAAAAATATTTTTGGTTTCGGCCTGACAAATTTTTTTTATTTCGGTTTTGGAATTTCCATTTCGGTGCACCTCTAATTTACATATTGGTGTTTCTCAGCAGGCTACTGCCGTACAGTGTGTACCAACTGGTGTCTGGGATGGGTTTGTTATCAGGACAATCAGATTTTGCCCTTGGGTGGTGCACGGTAACTAAATGGGGATCAGATGAACATGGATGCATTTTAGTTCGCTTTTATGTTTAATGGACATAATGCCCTAACCTAGCATTTGTGGCAATTCACATACTTGCCTGTGTCCGCACCAGCAAGATGTTCCCTGTGTGGCCTGCCAGAGTAGAACTATAGAGTTGACTAATTGGTTACTATGAGATATTCTTCTTTGCTTTATTAAATATCCCTGACTGTTTATTGGAATATTAAAATGGCTTAATATGACCACAGACTGCCCTAGGTATGAATACTGCCGTGCCACCAAATTTGAAAAAGGTAATAGTGGATGAAATATGTTCTATATCTGCCACTGGAAACAGCCATCGTCCATCTCTGAGGCATACACATTCCCAGGCTACAGTAAAGCTGAACAATTGCTTGAGTGCATCAGAACTAGTATGTAGCCCAGGAAATGTACAGGAGCTGCTTGTAGTGGTGCCTAACAGCCATGTGTCCTCCAGGAATGAAGGAAGGTCATGTCAAAATGACGTAAATGTTTACCTTTTTTGTGTGTCCTCAATACTTTTTGTACTCACTCTGTACATGTCTGTTTATAGGACCTGCACTTTATGTATACAATAACGCGGTTTTCACCACTGAAGACTGGCACGGAATTCAAGAAATAGCAAGAAGTAGGAAAAAAGATGACCCCTTGAAGGTTGGAAGGTTTGGTATTGGATTCAACTCTGTGTACCATATAACTGGTGAGAGTGTTTTCTGACTTTATAATGCTTGGGTAACCAGATTAACTTTTTTTCTCGTTGCATTTGTGGTATATTAAAAGTAGGGATGCACAGATCCCGGTTTTTCGGTATATTTTGCTTTCGGTACTCGCCGGTACGGAGTACAGATAACGGTGCTTCCGTTGGCATGTAGTCAGATCCGGGGCGATCGGAAGCCATGCTGCCTGGCTTCCTGATTGCCTTGGAAGCCGGCTCAATGTTATTTGCCCGGCTCAATTGTGATCGGCCGGGAAACTGGCTTCCCAGCCAATCGGCATCGAGCTGGCTTCCTGGCCAATCAGAAAGCCGTCTCCCCAGCCAATCAGCATGGAGCCGGCTTCCCAGCCAATCAGGGAGGCGGGTCATTACTCACCACCTGGCTTTCTGATTGCCTTGAAAGCGGGGTCCATATTCCCCTACGGCACTGCCGGTCAGAGGAAATCCTCCTTTGACCAGAAGTTCCGGTATCGGGGAAAGGTATCGGAGAATTTGGGCAAGTACCTGTTTGCAGAAGTTCGCACTAAGGTTCCTGGTTTACAGGCCCTTCATTCCCATCACAGGTTAGCTAACCATTTGGCCTCCCAGATATTAGTGGCATTGCCCCCTTCATACTGGTGTTTAAGTACACATTCATACCACCTACAAAGCAGACCACCCATTGTACATATTCTTTGCTTTGAGAAATAAAACTTACTGGTGTATAAAAGTAAAATATATTTTTTTATTTTAGAGGTTTAGTTCTATTCAGTGATATTTCAGATGTTTAGTTTACTTTAGTCAGCCATATTTTATGGGGTTAGTTCAATTCATACTAATCAGATTGCTTAATGGAGAACTATGGGGTTCTCTTTTGGGTCACGCTAGAACATATACTAACGTCCTCCAGTGACCCAGCATTGCTATTGCCCGCTGTATGCTGAGAGCATCGGAGCTGGGACGAATCCCGATAATACTGTCGAGATCCACCCAGCCGGCTGATTGACAGCAGGCTCTGCCTTTCTAGAGGCAGAGCCAGCTATGACCGCCGGCTCCTCAGTCTGTCTCTCCAGTCAGAACCGGAGGATCGGAGTGGGGAATCCACTGTCAGTCACCGCTCTCTGCTGCAAGATGATCGGGAAGTGAGCAGATCTGCGGTATGTTTTCTCCCACTTTCCGATCAATAGAGCCGACCTGTGACAGTTTCAATGTCACATGTTGGCTGTGACGTCTCAAGACGCCCTCCCGCTCCTAGCAGATGTCCGTCCGGCCGTTCACAAACGTGTGTGCTAACATAGATGTGTGCTAACAAGATCAGATATTTACTTGTGTTTTTAAACTGCTTAAAAAGCTTATTATTGCTGGTCTAAATGTACTGATGCATAAAGATTTTTTATATATTTCATTTTTAGATGTTCCCAGTATTTTTAGTGGTGATCAAATTGGGATGTTGGATCCACACCAGGTACTCTTTGGACGCCACGAGTCAGGCCAGTGTTGGAACGTTAAAGAGGACAGCAAAGAAATAAGTGAACTTGAGGACCAATTTGCCCCATTTGTTAACATTTTCGGCAGCACTAAAGAAACCTTTGGAGAAGGTCATTTCCCAGGAACCTTCTTCAGATTTCCTCTTCGCGTTCAACCCTCCTTGCTAAGTAGCAATCTGTACAATAAAGTAAAGGTTCTAGAACTCTATGAATCCTTCAGAGCTGATGCAGACACAGTGCTACTTTTTCTAAAGAATGTTCAAAAAGTGTCTCTTCACATAAGAGAGGCAGATGGCTCTGAAAAGCTAATTTTTCGGGTTACAGCTAGTGAAAACAAGCTTGTGAAACATGATAGGCCGAACTCTATCAAGATTCTTGGCTCATCAATTGATGGCTACTGCAAAGGCGTTCCAAGCAATAGTATAACTTGTGTTGCATATCATGTAAATATTGTTGTTGATGATGAAAGTGCTAAGGAAACGCAGACTTCCTCATGGTTGGTATGCAACAGTGTTGGGGGCCGGGGCATATGCAATGAATTAGACTGCCTTGCTGATGACCTCAAATTTGTTCCTACTATTGGGATTGCAATGCCTTTATGGAACAATGGTGAGGAAAAGGGAGCGGAGTCAGAGTTTGTTGGAAGAGCCTTTTGCTTTCTTCCTTTACCTCCAGGAGATGAAAGCAAGACCGGTCTTCCAGTTCACATCAGTGGTTTCTTTGGCTTAACAGACAACCGTAGGAGTATCAAATGGAGAGAACTGGACCAGTGGCGGGATCCTGCTGCTCTTTGGAATGAACTTATTGTTAAGAATGTTGTCCCAAAAGCGTATGCTACTCTTATCTTAGAAGCAATTAAGAAAATGGCGACAGAAGAGAATCCAGACTTTCCTCTGTCTGCTGAAAGTATCTACAGAGTGTGGCCAGAGGTGGATAAAGTTGGGACACACTGGAAACCCATAGTAGAACCTCTAATGAAGATGTTATTCCAGAATGCAGTGATATTCTCCACCAACAAGTGCTGGTTAAAAGAATGTGATGTCAACTTCACGGAGATAGATGAAAGCAAAGAGTACACAAAAACTATCCTGAACTACCTCCAAAACTCAGGGACTCCGATTGCCAAGGTACCGGCAAATGTTGCTGCTGCATTCCACATCCCATTAAATAATTCTAAGCAAGTGAAGAAAGTCACCCCAGCTCTTGTCCGTCAGGTGTTAAGGAAATGTCCACACAAGGGACCTAAACCTGAGAAGCTTCACCTCCTTGAATTCATACTCAGTGATGAGAATTACAGTGAACTTATAGGACTAGAAATGATTCCTCTTCAAAATGGGAATTTTATTTCTTTCTCTTCATCTGTATCTGATAGAGATGTTGTTTACATCACCTCAGAGGAGTTCCCCAGGTATGATTATCTGTCACTTTTTTGTTACTGTATTGTTCATATGTTCAGTTTACTTGTTCTTGTTTTGTTATACTTTGTTGCTTTTGTAAAAAAAAGTGAAGCTATACTCTGCCATGCAAGGCAAAGCAAAAGGTTCACTTTAGGCTGCCAATACTTGCCTTCCCTTCATTTCTCCTGCCACCTTGTCTGCCTCTGGGAGCAAAGATTAAACGCTCTGTGTAAGCTCTGACTTCGTCCCAGTCAGAACTTATATAGGGGTGAGGACTTTTTTCCCACATTCCATGTTAGAACACACTGGATCAATCACCTTGTGCCAGTGCTATTCTAGGAGAGGAAGGGAAGTGTGTTACATGAATACTGTACCAAAAAGTAGTTGGTATTTCTCTTCACTCCAAACGTTCAGTGAGGAAGTAAAGGGGAGCTGAGTTGAAGGGGGCCAGGTATTTAAAGCAGAACTACCCTGCCTTTCCTTTACAGCCACAAAAGGTGCCATCTTAGCCTCTATTTAGATTGCAGTTGTCATGGCGACACATGTGATCTGCTATGATATCACTGATAACACTAAACTGATGAGCGGTAACAGCTTTTAAAGCGTCGCCTATGGCCAATTTTGGGTATTATCGTTTTTTGAGATTTCGCGTGCGCACGCAATTTTAAGGCTTGACATGTTTTGGTCTTTTTACCCGACGTGACTCCGTCTTTTATATTTTACCAAAAAATTGGGTAATAATGTTTTATCATTTAATATAGGGGAAACAGGTTTTTTTTTTTTTTCCGGTAATTTTTCCTTTAATATAGTAAAAAATAAAAACCCCAGTGATGAATAAATACCACCAAAAGAAAGCTCTATCTGTCCCCAAAAAAGGGTATAAAATTCATTTCAGTACAGCGTTGCATGACGGAATAAATGTCAGTCAAAGTACTGCAGCGCTGAATACTGAAAAATGGCCTGGATGGGAAGGGGGTTTAACACCGCGGATGTCAACTGGTTAAATTGGTGGGTTTAGTTCTGTTGTAAGTGAACCTACTTTTGACTTGCATGGACAAAACATTCAGCACTAAGGCCCCATTCACACTTGCCGCATGAATGCACAAAGTGTTTTGCTGCGTGTCAGCATAGGACAGCCTATTCATTTCAATTGGCTGCTCTATGCGCAACAAAGAAGTTTAGGCAGCAATTTGAGCAGTGAGCTTCATATGTTTTTTGACCACCAGGATGCATGTCTTGCTTACTGCGTAAATTAATGGAACTACCAGCATGACACGCACTTTTTGCGTGCTTCTTGAACACATGCAAAAGTGCATGATTTTGTGTGTTCAAGTGTCAGCAAGTGTGAAAGAGTGGGCCTAATTTTGTTTTTTTTTTCATATTTATTTAGTTTGCCTTTTAAAAATTCTGCATATATCTGCTTGGACACTTCTGTGTTTTAGTCTTATGTACCTTCAGTTATAAAATCTGGAATAGCAATAGGTCTAAAATATAGATGGCTTTATTATGTGCATTTAATGGAATGGATGCCATATCAGATTTCAAATATGGACATTAATGGACGCTCACTGGTTCTTTGAGTTTAATGGACTCTGCCCGCAGGCATATATATAGGCTGCCATTGCAGACTTCCTTCTGAAAATGCAAGTTGTTTAGCTGCCATGTTGGTACTCTGGCCTCAGTATTACTGAATCCCTGCCCTGGACCAAATATCTAGATCAGCAATTGTGGCATCACTCTAGCTTCTCTTACTGCAGACTCTTTGTTTCTTACTGATTTACAAAGTTTTGAAGCCAGGGGATCAATGTGGCAATCGGAGCACCTTGCATTTTCGGAAGGAGGTCAGTGATGATGGCTCTTCCATGATAGGTATCTTTCAATAAAGCTATATAATGGTCTTTCTCTGAGTACTATGGCTATGAACATAGTGAAACTTCATACTCTGCACCGATGTATACAGTAATGGACTAACTCACTGCTATTTATGAAGTCACAAATAGTGCAGTACAAAGAACCTACCTGTGCTATCTAGCAGCATTACTTGCATCACAAGACAAGACTAAATGCCACGGAAGGCAAAATAGCGCAAGTATTTGCATTTCAATTTGGTTTTCGCTGTATACCTGAAGTTTTAGCTTTGAATCACCGTAGGATTCTGCTCATTTTAGACGCAAGTAGTGTGTAATTTGATTTATTTAGGGAAGCACAAATGCACCATCTCTAAAACAATATGTGAAATAATTGCACACATTCTTTTTCTTTCAGTTCATTATTCCCTGGACTAGAGGGCAGACTTCTTTCTGAAGATTTAAAACCTGAAATTCTGACTGCTTTGAAGGAAGCATCAATAAGTCGAGGTAATAGATTATAAATTATTTTCTTTTGCTAACTAGATGTGATTAAACATGTCATCATTTGTTTTTCTAAGTGAAACCACAAAGAAAAGCAAAGTTTAAGCACTCACCTTAAAGGAGAACTATGGGGTCAGGGCTTTTCCCCATAGTTCTCCTTAGGGTAACGGGAGGACGCAAACTAGCGTCCTCCCGTTACCCTAAGCTCAGTATACCGCGAGCTACGGCTCGCGGTATACTGAGACGCCGCAGCCGGAGCGGATCCCTACATCGATGTTGAGATCCGCCCAGCTGCGGGAGTGACAGCTGGCTCTGCCTATCTAGAGGCAGAGCCAGCTGTACCCGCCCCCTCCCCCGTCCGTTCCGCCAGTCAGCGCTGGTGGATTGGGGAGTGGGGAATCCAGCCCCTCCCCTGTCACGGCAGAGAGCCGTGACAGGATCGAGAGGTGAGCGAACGCCGGTATATGCTCGCTCACCTCCCGATCTACTGAGCCGACCTGTGACAGTTTCATTGTCACAGGTCGGCTAGAACTATGAGGTGAGTGAAAAGCACTCACCTCATAGTTCTCCTTTTAATATAGATGATTCGGTGTATAGGTAGTGTGTGTGTGTATATATGTAAATATATTAAACAGTAATATTTATCAAATCACAAATGTGAATATGAAAAAAAGTGTGAACGCCTTTGATAGACTACAATATCACGTTTAGTTTACGAATCTGTATTGAGATTATAGTCCATCATGGGAGTAATTACTTTAGAACACACATACAGGGACCATAGGCAACAAAAGTAGCCACCCTCCAGAAGGAAGGACAGTGTCAGCACCAAGTCCGAGATGATTTGAGGATCTACAGCCGAGTGATACACAAATGAGATACTTTTATGTTAATATTTAAGGTACTTGAATGAATGTTTAAGATTTAACTCCTGAGTTATGTGTCACTTTAAAGTAGACCTCATTGTGGGAAAATTAGGGTGTAAGTATCTTGAATGTACTTACATTGCTACTAACTACTGCACTTTAAGTAGGAATTCATCATAATGTGTATTTCTTATATATCGTGTTCTCAATATTGTAATATTACATTTTAGCACAACAGCTTCTCTGGGGATTTGCAGGTACAGTAAACTGAGAACTGGAGAGCCATAGAATTCTATAGTGTTTAATTGCACCCAGTATGTTTTTCCTAACCGATGTGTGACAGATTATTGTTTAAAAGTACTAAGTGTTTAACAGACGAACGTTATTGAGAGACAGTATGTACATTCATATTTGCATAGTGTTGCCTAGGGTGGAGCAATGTTCAGCAATGGTACATCTATGTGGTATTCAAGTGTGGATAAAAGTATTACAATTCACACTATTCTATTCTGGCTGCAACCAGGTTTCTACTAATGGCCACAATCGCGGGGAAGCTAAACAGATTGACTTATGGCTGTTGATCATTGTCACTTAAAATTGCTCAGCTGACAAATAATTGTTGTCTAAGTGTAACTGTATAAAAAAAAAGTTTCCTGTAGCCATCATAATTGATTTGTAGTAGTACAGTGTTAGATAGTTTGAATAAGATGGAGAGTTGAGCTTTAAGCTCTTCATAAACAGGTATAGGTTTGTGGTGCAGGAGAATATTTTCTGGATCAAAATCTTTCCATGTACAGAGTAAGAAAGTGCAGATCTGTAGAGTGCAGGAGATTGGCCATACAATTGGTCTGATGTTAAAAAAAATAAAAATGGAGTATTGAGTCACAATTACTGCCTATAGGCAATATATTTGAGGTCCATCTATCATCTATTGGACAGTTTCTGTGAATGGCAGATAAGTAGCTCAAACAAAGATCTGATTTTTCATTGTTGGTCTTAAATGACTGAAAATGGATGGTAAACACAACTGCAGTCAGTGTATACTTAGATATGAACTGTATTTAATCCACTAGTAAGATGGCCACATTTTACACTATATGCGATTATCATATTCCCATATCAACCATCTCCTGCACAGTAATCCACTCATAATCAGGTTGTACGTTTAGCTTCAGTTATTAATCTAGCCTAGGATGTTCTGCAGCAGTTCAGGCATGAAGGATGGAAGAATCTTCAATCCATGAAATTCATTTGTGTAAAACATGCATATTGGTATGTTTTCAACTGTATGTTTTACCTGAACTAACTTGTACATTTTGGTATAATTTGTGGCAGAGCACATTTAACAACTGATGCATGAATAGCTACGAAGTAGGATGCATTTTTGTGTTGTACATTGGCATGGAATTGTGCAGCTAGTTGGTTTCTGCATGAATTTGCTGTACTGAATGGTAGTTGGGCATGAAAACTCTATACCCTACTAATTCTTTAGTGGTATATGTGATGGTAAATTTGTTTTACTACCGTAAGCAGAACTCCAAACCACCCCCCACCCTATACATAAAAAAATAAAGTACAGCTCATTGATCTAACCTCCAAGCTTCTTCCAGCCGATCTGGTGACAGCATTTTCTCTTCATTTTCACGATTAAAGTGACATTAAAGTCCCCCTCCCCCAATGCTGGTTTAAGGACTTACCTTAAATGATGCCTCTTGATCCGATCATCTTCCTTCCACTTGTATTTACCAATACCTCCAGCGCTGGTGCCGGTCTCTGATCCAGCGCTGACTTCTGTGTCTCACGGTGTCTGTCCGTGTGCATGCTGCCGGGCTGCGTGCATTGACTTACCCTGTGTTTCTCCTCTTCTCCCGGCCGAGAAGAGGATGGGCGTGAGCCCGCCCCATGATCCTTCCCGGCCGCTCGACAATCTTCAGATCTTTAGAATTGAGCTTGTGGCAGACACAGGTAAGTTTTTACCTATTTGGTAACTTTTTTATGTTTTTGCATATATCTACTGCTTGTACTTAGAGCACAGGCCAACATGATTATGCACCTGCAGGGGATGTGCCCTTGACAGCCTGGGCTCAGAGGAAGTAGGTTGGATGATGCTGGGCGTCATTTAACCCTGAAGAGGAGCAGCAACATAGAGCAACGAGACTGCAGGGGACAGTGGCAAAGAGTAGGTGAATACTGCAGGCAAAACTGCTTTTTAATGTTTTCAACTGCTTGGAAACACATTTTGAAATAAAACTTAAACCCAGAGTTTAAAATGTAATTCGGCTGTTTATCATAGATTTGATGAAAAATTCTATATAAATTAATTAACAATGCTTATTTTTTGGATTTTCTTCTTTCTTTATTTTCACTTATGGTCCTCTCATGTTTTTTAGTTTTCTGTTAGTTAGCAAAATTTTTTCCTGTGGTTTTTAAACTATGTTGACCACACATCCCTTTTACATGTTACCCTCATCATGTATAGCATGGCACAATTAAAAGTTACCAAGCCAATCCACTTGGGTTTTAATATCCATTTTGAAGGTTTCTAACAAGGCAGAGACATACATCCGTTCCATTCCATATTGACACATACTGTGCGTACTGCAACATAAATCATATGAAGAAAGCCAGCACCCATATCTTGAAATCCTTTTTCTAAAGGCTAGAATCGGAGATCTTAATGTGAGTGAAACAAAAAATCTCATGGACGTCAAACTTTGGTTCCAAGTAAGGGTTTCAATTTAAAGTGGTATTAAAATCTTGTGTTTCTTACGTATATCTACTGCTAGCAAGCAGTAGATGTATGCCACAGCATTTATAAAAATAATTGTGAAATCGACAATAACTTATCTCTATCTGCGCCGCTCACTCCGGGTGTAAAACTGTAGCTTCCGGGAACTGCTGTGCAGGAGGATGTGTTTGGGCGCATGCACACTCAATATCACTGGCGGGGAAAGGAGGAGAGACACTGTAAGTCAATGCACGCAGCCAGGAGTTTGCAAGCCCAGCAGACTTCGTGGGACATGAAGATAGAGGAGTCTATGCTGGATCAGAGAGCGGCACCATTGCTGGAGGGACTGTTGGAAACGAGTGGAAGGAAGAAGATTTTTGGAACAAGAGGAATCACATAAGGTAAGTACTTAAATAAGCATGGGGGGAATAAAAAAAATAGGAGCCTTTAATGTCACTTTAAGTCACGAGGAACATTGCAGATGACCAGCTCTTACAACATATTTTTGCCCCCAATGTTACCGCAAGAAGGTTTTTGAGTACTCCACATTGGAGAATTTGTTAGCCATTATCTTTTGTTCTTGTGACTCCTGTTTTAAGAGGTTTATTCAATGGCTGACAAAAGAGGACAAACTTTGGTCTAACAAAAAGAGTTGTGCTTTAGTATCCATCTGCTATAAAAAAAAATTGTATGTTTTAATTTTATTGTCCAGCTACATGGCAACTATGGCCATTAGTCAGGTGTTTATTTTTTTTCTAACTTTGGTGAGTGTGGTTGGATTAGAACTCATGCTTTTTTGTCCTGCTGATGATAATTTCACAAGTCAGGAACTGAGAGGAAATCTTCAACGGGGACACAGACGGTAATAAAACTCCGACATGGGTTCTAGCCTTACCCCTACTTTACAAATGAAAATCTATTTTTTTTTAGGGCTGCACCTAATGATTATTTTCATAAATACCATCCTTAATTTAAAATACAGTACACAAATGCAGTGCTACAAACATAAAGTTTACTTCAGAATAAAACTGCATGTACATTTTTGCAATCGCACGGCATTGCGGTACCATGCGTTCCAGTGGGTGCGATCACACTGTGGGTGGGAGGCGTGTTTGGTGTGCCATTAAAATGAATGGCACTGCAACGTCCCTCCCGCAGCAGAATTTGTCAGATCGAAACCGAAAATGATTTTTTTCCCACCTTTTATGATTTATTTTAAAATAATTGTATTGTAAACACATGGCGCTTGAATAGCTTCAGCCAGTGAATGATAGCTGCCAGTGGCAAGATTCCGCAGACGGCAGCTGAATGTAAATATAGCAGGTAGTGGGCGAGTGCAATAGACAGCCTGCTATTGGCCATTTCAAATTCCAATAGCAGGCTGGCTATTGCACCCACCCACTGCTTGCTGTGCCCTCCTCCCAGCATGGAGGAGAGAGCTAGGGAATCCAACCAACTAATCAATAATGAAAATAGTTGTCAAAGATTCTCAAAATGGATTATTATCGATTAGTTGGTTGCAGCCCTATTTTATTTATGTCGGATTGCTGTTTGAGAGTTACCCTCGCTTCCCTCCTGGTAAAATGCGGTCAGCACAGGAAGTGAGGGTAAATCTCTAATTGAGATAGCAGTAAAATTCTGACAGGCGTTCTAACCGTTCATCAGTCTATCCAAAATGAAGGAAAAAAACGTTTTGGCTGGACATAACACTTTATTATTCCCTCTTTGAATACATTAATTATTAATTACTTCGAAAAAAAATTAACAAAAAAATGGAAATCTCGAAATAAGAATGCAGTTTAATTTTTGATGAGTTTGTGAATATTAGATAGCATTGACTTTATTTAGGGAAATGTATTTCTCTTTGTTCCTTTGTTTTTACCTTAAGTTTAAGTTTTAACTTTCCAGTCAATGCTGGCTTCTAATGTGTTTTTTTTTCCAACAGGAAGGCCATGCACCCAGCTGCAGCTCCTGAACCCTGAACGGTTTATACGTCTTACTAAGGAGGTTATGAATACGATATGGCTGACAAGAGACTTGGTAGTCAGATGGTCCCCTGGCAAGGACAAAAGGCATCCTCCCATCTCATGGCTTAAAATGGTCTGGAAACTCTTATACATTAATTTTTCAGAAGATCTGTCATGTCTTGATGACATGCCGCTTATTCCTACAAGGATGCTGGAAGAAGAGGAAACCACACTGGAACTCATTCGCCTGAGGTCACCATCTCCTGTAATATATGATGATGGGGCAGATACTCAGCTGCCTGAACATTTGCCAGAAATAATTAAAATCCTTGGTGGCATTGTTCTACAGTGTTTAGATCCCGCCATACAACATCCACTTCTTAAAAAATATGTCTATCCTCCAACGCCCAGTGCTCTTCTCCAAATAATGGACACAATGTCTTTACAAAAACTCTCCAGTCAGATTGCTTCCCTGACTCCAAATCACAAAGATACTCTGAGGCGATTCCTAGCTAGCCTAACAGACATCAACGAAAAAGAGAAAAAGATCATTCAGGAATTAATGATCTTTAAAATGATAGAACAGACTTCAGACCAAAAAAATTCTTATGTTTTCTTGAGAGGTTGTAGAGCTCTCCATCACAATGCCAGACTTCCTCCAAATACTCGGCTCTCAATCCCTGTAATTGATAGCAGTGATGAGGAAACTATCCGTTTGACTAAGATGCTCAAAGTTGAACAGCTAAAGAGTACAGATTGTGTAAAAACTATCTTGCAAGATGTCGAAAAAGGTTTTTACTCAAGTGAAGAAAGGACATGTGTTGTGCTTTGGGTTCTTGAAAATTTGACCTTTTTAAAGAATGAAAATGGAGCTATAATAAACTGGTTATCGAATCTTAAATTTTTGCCCGTTAACAAAGACAGACTTGTGTCAGCTAATGAACTTTTTGATCCAGAGGTGACTATCCTTCAAAGTCTCTTCTGTGCTGAAGAACACCTGTACTTTCCACCTGCTGCTTTTACATCTTCTGATGTTTTGCATTCCCTTCGACAATTAGGGCTCAAAAATGATTCTCATATTCTTGAAAAAGACATTGTACAGATTGCAAAGAAAATTGAAGCTTTACACAGTGGATCAGGAAAAAACGATGACATAGTCTTAAAAAAGGCAAAGACTCTCCTGACAGTTTTGAAAAAGGCATATAAACTCATACAGTCACCTGAAGCAAAAGCTGTGTTAAAAAAGATCAAATGGATTCCTGCCATCAAAGAACGTCCACCGAATTATCCTAATTCTTTGGTTTGGTTGGGAGACCAATTCAAATTGTATGCTCCAGGAGAAATGTGCAATGTGTGTTATGCTGTCTTCGTAGGATCTTCTGTTCCGCTGGTGGAGAACATGAATGACAATGTTGAAAAAGTGCTGGGCATTTCAAAAGGGCCTAGCATTGAAGCTGTGCTGAAACACCTAAAGGTTGTGGTTGACTGGAATAATTCCAAAACAATTACTGATGAAGACTATTATCAGTTCCAGCACATTTTATTGGAAATCTATGGCTTTATGCAGGAGTCCCTTGAGAAAGGCAAAGAGCTGTATAAAGCACTTTCATTTCCATGGGTTTGGACAGGCACAACATTTTGTTCTCCAAAACAAGCAATAATAACATCAGTACACAGTCTTGACCTTCAGCCCTTTTTGCATAGTATACCAAACACAATGGTAAAATTTCATAAGTTATTTAAATTCTGTGGTTCAATTGAGGAGCTGACTCCTGGACATATCTTTGAAGTTACAAATATAATTTATGAGAGAAGCAAGAAAACCATGGACATAGAAGAGAACAGGCAAAACCTTAACATTATGCTGAACATTGTGAGATGGATGTATAGTCATCAGATTGTGGTAAGTGCAGAAACCCCATTGCCCGTGCATTATAACAAAGATCCTTCTAAGCTTGTAATGAGGCCTATACATGAATGTTGTTACTGTGATATCAAAGTTGATGACTTGAATGACCTCCTTGAAGATTCGGTTGAACCAATAATATTGGTACATGAAGATATACCAATGAAGACAGCAGAGTGGCTGAATGTACCTTGTTTAAGCACAAGACTTATTAATCCAGAAAACATGGGGTTTGAACAGTCAGGTCAAAGAGAACCGCTTACAGTGAGAATCAAAAACATTTTAGAAGAATACCCTTCAGTGTCAGATATCTTTAAAGAGCTCCTTCAAAATGCAGATGATGCCATCGCCACAGAGTGCAACTTTCTGATCGATATGAGAAGAAATATGGACATAAGGGAAAATCTTCTGGACCCTGGAATGGCAGCATGTCATGGACCTGCTTTGTGGTCTTACAACAATTCTGAATTCACAGATAAAGATTTTATGAACATAACTCGACTTGGGGAGTCCTTAAAGAGGAGTGAAGTGGACAAGGTTGGAAAGTTTGGTCTGGGCTTCAACTCTGTGTATCACGTTACTGACATTCCCATTATTATGAGTAGAGAATTTATGATCATGTTTGATCCAAATATCAACCATATTAGCAAACACATCAGAGACAAATCTAATCCAGGTATCAAAATTAACTGGAGCAAGCAACAGAAACGACTTCGCAAATTTCCCAATCAATTTAAACCATTTTTGGGTGTTTTTAAGTGTGATCTACCACTTGCTGTTGAAACGCCATACTGCTACAAAGGTACACTTTTTAGGCTTTCCTTTAGAACACAGCAAGAAGCAAAAGTGAGTGAAATTAGCAGTACTTGCTACAACACTGCAGATATTTATACACTTGTAGATGAATTTAGCCTGTGTGGCTATAGACTGATTCTATTCACTCAGCACGTGAACTCCATGGTTCTCAAATACTTAAAACCTGAAGAGTCAGATCCGAGTTTAGCACAGGACACAGTGACTATTAAAAAAACTGAATGTTCCTCGCAGGTTTTATTTCACCCAACAAGACTTTTAAAAGAAGCTGCCAGAGTGATGCACAACTGCAGTACAACTAAAAGATTTCCATCAGATATGCCAAAATCGTCTTCTATCTTGCAGATTGTTGTTCAAGAGTTTCACCATGTGTTCAGACGAATTGTTGACCTGCATTCTCCCTTATTCCGAGGCCCAGAAGATGAACCAGCACACATATTTGAAATGGCGAAATCTGGACAAAACAAAAGAATGACTGAAGAACTTCCACAAAAAACTATAGACTCAACAACATGGCTTATATGTTCTTGCATGGACATCGGGGAAGCTTTAAAATTTGCCTTAAGTGATAGTGGCAAAAGACTTGGGCTGGTGCCGTGTGGCGGAGTGGCAGTAATGCTTTCTGAAAGTGAAAATGGTAAATGGACAGTGAAACCACTTTCCACCAATGTTGGAGAAGTGTTCTGTTACTTGCCTCTACGGATAAAAACTGGTCTTCCATTGCATATGAATGGTTGCTTTGCTGTGACCTCAAACCGTAAAGAAATCTGGAAAACTGATACCAAAGGAAGGTGGAATATGGTATTCATGAGGCATGTCATTGTTCGATCTTATCTAGAAGCTCTTTGTGTTCTAAGAGACATGTCCATCAGTGGAGAACTACTCAAATACAACTACTATTCAGTGTGGCCTGATCCTGGCTATGTGCATGATGACTTTACTGTAATCTGCCAAGGAATTTATGAAGACATTGCCAAAGGAAAAGGTAAGGACAGGATGAAAGTGTTTTCTGATGGAACATCCTGGGTCTCCATGAAACATGTACGATTTCTTGATGACTCTTTACTGAAGAGACCAGATATTGGACCTGCTGCTTTTCAGATTTTCCTAAAATACTTGAAAAAAACAGGCTCTAAAAATCTGTGTGCTGTGGAACTGCCCTCATGGGTTAAAATGGGCTTTGAAGAAGCAGGATGTACAGATGTACTGCGTGAAAATACTTTTTCTGAAAGTCAGTTTTTTTCTGAAGTCTTTTTTCCACATATTGCAGAGATTCAACCTGAATTACGCAATCCATTGATGCTTTTTGTTTTGAATGAGAGGATACAAGCTTTTGGTGAAATCCTGAAAGTAACACCATGCATTCCCTGTTCCAGCGAAGGTAATCCTTTGGTTATACCTTCAAGGTTAATTCACCCAGAAGGTAGGGTTGCAAAATTGTATGATGATAGTGATGGGAGATTCCCTTTTGGAACACACCAAAATTACTTAAACCCTGTGGTGTTGGTGAAACTAGTGCAACTTGGAATGATTAAAGATGACATTTTGTGGGAGGATTTAATTGAACGCATTGAGTCCATATCAGACATCAATAAAAGTGACCATGCTGCAGCTTGCACAAGAAGCAATATTATCCTAAGTCTGATTGATGAAAAACTTAAGTTCAGGGACCCAAAAGCAAAGGAATTTTGCCAGACATGTCAAACTGCTCAGTTTCTACCATTTTCCACAAAACCTGCAGGCTTTTCCTTGCGCTGGAAAGGAAGTGAATATAATCCAGGGCACTTGTTTGCAGCTAATTATCTGTATACAACTGAGCACCAGGACATTGTTTGTCTTTTAAAACCAATCCTGAATGAAAACTCTCCTTCCTTTAAGGGTTGTGGACCCATATCATTGGCAGTCAAGGAGTACTTGGGTTTGCTCAAAAAACCATCCCCTGAATTAGTGATAGAACAACTAAAAGAAGTTGCAAAGCATTTAGATGGGAACACTCTGTACCAGGACAATATTACAAATGCTTGCTATAAATTTCTTAATGAAGCCGTATTGCTGAACGAAGCTACAAAAAACATGGTGGTCACAGAATTGAAGACAAACGCTTTTATCTTTGTAGATGGAATTTACGTTAGTCCAGAAAAAGTTGCTTTTCAACTGAATTTTGAAGCAGCGCCTTACTTGTATCAAATGCCCACCAAGTACAGAAATAATTTCCGTGAACTGTTTGAAATTGTTGGAGTGAAACTTGCCTTTACGGTGGAAGATTTTGCATTAGTTCTTCTGGCCATCAAAAATACAAATAACAGTAGAAAAATATCAGAAAATGACTTCCAACTTTGCAGACGTATTGTTAGTGAAGGAATCTGGGGGCTAATTCGAGAAAAGAGTCAAGAATATTGTGAAAAGCACTATAGCCAAATTCTTCTGCCAGATGCCAACCTCAATCTACTTCCAGCAAAATCCTTATGCTATAATGACTGCCCGTGGATTCGAGTGAAAGACACAGCTGTAAAATATTGTCATTCTGACATTCCAAGGGAGGTTGCTGTAAAATTGGGATCCATTCCAAAACGACACAAAGCTCTAGAAAGATATGCTTCAAATATTTGTTTTACTGCACTTGGAACAGAATTTGGACAGAAAGAAAAGCTTACCAGCAGAATTAAAAGCATCCTGAATGCATATCCATCAGAGAAGGAAATGCTCAAAGAACTTCTACAAAATGCAGATGATGCAAAAGCCACAGAAATTTGTTTTGTCTTTGATCCAAGACATCATCCATCAGATAGAATATTTGATGAGAAATGGACTCCACTACAAGGTCCTGCACTATGTGTATACAACAACCAACCCTTCACGGAAGATGATGTCCGAGGTATCCAGAACTTGGGAAGAGGGACAAAGGAAGGCAACCCAGTAAAAACTGGACAGTATGGCATAGGGTTTAATTCAGTTTACCACATCACTGATTGTCCATCTTTCGTCTCTTCAAATGACATCATTTGTATTTTTGATCCTCATGCAGCATATGCCCCAGGGGCGACTTCATTAAGTCCAGGGCGCATGTTCCGAGATTTGGATGCTGACTTTAGGACACAGTTTTCAGATGTGCTAAATCTATATATAGGCAACCACTTCAGCCTTTCCAATGCCACAATGTTTCGGTTTCCACTTCGGAATGCAGAAATGGCAAAAACCTCTGAAATTTCTTCTGTACCTTGCTCGGATAGAATGGTGCAAAACCTTCTTGATAAGCTGCGTACAGATGGAGCTGAACTTCTTATGTTTTTGAATCACATGGAAAAAATTTCAATTTGTGAGATAGAGAAGTCAACTGGTGCCCTGAAAGTGTTGTATTCTGTCAAAGGCAAAATTACTGATGGCGACCGGCTAAAACGCAAGCAGTTTCATTCATCTGTTATCGATAGTGTTACTAGGAAAAAACAACTAAAAGACATACCTGTCCAACAGATTACTTACACAATGGATATTGAGGATACTGAAGGCAATCTTACCACTTGGTCAATTTGTAACCGGTCAGGTTTCTCCAATATGGAGAGAGTAATGAAAACCGTAATCTCTGCACATAAAAATAAGGACATCACTTTATTTCCACGTGGAGGTGTTGCTGCTTGTGTTACCCACAACTACAAAAAACCTTACAGAGCTTTTTGCTTCCTGCCCCTTTCTCTTGAGACAGGACTTCCTTTCCATGTAAATGGACATTTTGCTTTAGACTCTGCTAGACGAAATTTGTGGAGGGATGATGATGGAGTTGGAGTAAGAAGTGACTGGAACAACAGTTTGATGACAGCCTTAATAGCACCAGCTTATGTGGAACTGTTGGTGCAGCTGAAAAAACGAAACTTTCCAGGTAGTGATCCAACAATCTCAGTTTTGAACAATACACCAGTCCATGCTGTTAAAGATATTTTGAAGAAGTTTTTGTCCTTTTTCCCAGTTAACAGACTGGATTTGCAGCCAGACTGGTATTGCCTTGTAAAAGCTGTATATTCTTGCATCTATGCTGATTCCAAACGTCTCCTGCCTGTTGTGCGTACCCCAAATGTTGATGGATCTGACGGTCAGTCGGCTGTCATTGTTACCTGGGTAAACATGTCTGCAGTGAATTCTGGCAAGCCATATTTCGACAATTTACTACAAGATGAGTTGCACCATATGAAAAGTATTGAGTATAACATTACTACCCGTAAAACAGTAGCTGAGAATGTTTACAGGCTTAAACATCTTCTCTTAGAAATTGGATTCAATTTAGTTTACTACTGTGATGAAACGGCAAATTTATACCACTGTTTGGTGGATGCGGGAATCCCCGTTTCCTATGCAACACCTTCTGATGTCCGCAGCTTTCTAATGACCTTTTCTTCTCCTGATTCAAACTGCCACATTGGAAAGTTGCCCTGCCGCCTTCAGCAGACCAACCTTAAGTTATTCCACAGTTTAAAACTCCTTGTAGACTACTGCCTAAAAGATGCTGAAGAAAATGTTATTGCGATTGAGGGCCTGCCACTTTTGATTACTCTGGACAATGTTTTGCAGATTTTTGATGCAAAGCACCCCAAATTCCTAACCACCTACCATGAATTAATTCCCTCCCGGAAGGATCTGTTCATGAACACCCTTTTTCTGAGATACAACAACATTCTGCTTTCAAACAAAGTTGCAAAGGTCTTTGACATCAACAGCTTTGCAGAGCTACTGTCATCTGTTCTTCCCAGAGAATATAAAACAAAAGTCTTTGTGCCCTGGAAAGATAACTTTGCTAGTGAATCTTGGCTTAAAAGTGCCTGGCATTTCATCAGCGAGTCATTTAATGTCAAGAATGATCAAATTGACGCGAGCACAACTTTTAATACAGTTGTTGAAACACTCAAGGACTGGGCTTTGTTACCAGGAATAAAGTTCACGGTGTCACCCGGCCACCTGATTATTCCAGATGGTGATGTTTTGCTGCCATTAAGTCTCATGCATATTGCAATCTTTCCAAATGCACAAAGTGATAAAGTTTTCCATACTTTGATGAAGACTGGATGTATCCAACTGTCTGTAAACAAAATGTGTTCAAAAGACAACATATTGCTTCCCATGCTGGCAAGTCACACAGCAAATATCGACAATCCCATAAGCATCCTTAGAGCTGTATATCACATGATTCAAACATCAAGTTTTAAGACTGAAAAAATAGTTGAAAATGATTTTGATGCACTTTTGATGTATTTTAACTGCCATCTAGATCAGTTGGTATCAGGGGATACCATTAACATTTTAAAGACCCTTCCATGCTACAAGTCAGTAAGTGGTCGCTATGTCACCCTTTCAAAGTATGGGACTTGCTATGTCCTTACAAAGAGTATACCATCAGCTGAGGTGGAAAAGTGGTCTCACTCCTCATCCTATGCTTTTCTTGAAGAGAAAGTTAATCTTAAAGAACTCTACACGGCACTAGGCTGCATTCCTGTGGATGATCTGGAGATTTATTCAAAGCACTTGTTGCCAAAGTTTGAAAACCTCTCCTACAATGCCAAGTTAGAGCATCTAATTTATCTGAAAAATAGACTATGTGGTCTTGAGGATGCTTCTCCAATGAAGGATCAGCTTTATGCAAAACTAGAAGATCTCTCCTTTATTCACGATGCCAGTGGTCGGCTAAAGCCTGCCAAGAATTTCTATGATCGAACTGTCAAGGTGTTTGAAGTGATGCTTTCTGAAAAATTATTCGTACCACTGGATTTTTTTAAGAAACTGGAACAAATTACAAAGCCAAAGAATCAAGCTGCCTTTTTGCTCTCATGGATCAAATTTCTTCGAAATATAGGCATGAAGCATGCTATTTCTCAGCAGCAATTGCTGCAGTTTGCAAAAGAGATAAGCATGAGAGCCACCACTGAAGGCTGGTCAAAGGAAGTGCTGCAGAACACTGTTGATGTAATTCTTTATTATGTCTTCCAAGAAAGAACTGATTTATTTTTGGGGAACTTTTTAAAGGAATTATCTATGATACCTTTCTTATGCCCTGAACGAGCACCTGCAGAACTAGTTAGTTTCCATCCTCAGTACCAAGAAGTAAATGGTACTCTACCTCTGATAAGGTTTAATGGAGCTCAAGTTAATCCGAAGTTCAAACAAACAGATGTTATGCAGCTACTGTGGACATCTTGCCCGATTCTTCCAGAAAAAGCAACCCCACTGACCATTAAAGAACAAGAAGGAAGCACCCTTGGCCCACAGGAACAACTTGAACAGATTTTGACAATGCTTAATGTAAATGTAGACCCATCACTTGATAAAGTAATTAACAATTGCCGAAACATATGCAACATTACAACTGTTGATGAGGAAATTGTAAAAACAAGATCAAAGGTTCTGAGAAGTATCTATGAGTTCCTTAACACTGAAAAGAAAGAATTTAAGTTCCAGCTTAGAGGAGTTGCTTTTGTCATGGTTGAAGATGGGTGGAAACTTCTAAAGCCAGAGGAGGTTGTTATCAATCTGGAATTTGAGTCCGATTTTAAACCTTATCTATACAAACTTCCTCTAGAGTTAGGAACGTTCCATCAGTTGTTTAAAAATTTAGGCACAGAAGATATTGTCTCTACAAAGCAGTATGTTGAAGTTCTTAGTCGCATTTTCAAAAGCTCTGATGGAAAACAGCTAGACCCCAATGAGATGCGTATCGTAAAGAGAGTAGTTTCTGGCCTGCTGAAAAGTCTTCAGAACGATTCAGTTAAAGTGCGCAATGACTTTGAAAACATTCGTGACCTTGCACTTTATCTGCCAAGTCAAGATGGAAGATTGGTCAAGTCAAGTATCTTAGTATTTGATGATGCACCTCACTACAAAAGCAGAATTCAGGGAAACATTGGTGTCCAAATGCTGGTGGATCTAAGTCAGTGCTATATGGGAAAAGATCATGGCTTTCACACAAGACTTATAATGCTTCTCCCCCAAAAGTTAAGGCCACGACTTCTCAGTAGCATCCTTGAAGAACAGTTGGATGAAGAAACACCAAAATCTTGCCAGTTTGGGACCTTATGTTCTCTACAAGGGAGGCTACAGTTGCTTCTGTCTTCTGAACAGTTTATCACTGGGTTTATTAGAATTATGAAGCATGAAAATGACAATGCATTTTTGGCAAATGAGGAAAAGGCCATCAAACTTTGCAAAGCCTTGCGAGAAGGCTTAAAGGTTTCCTGCTTTGAAAAATTACAAACCACATTAAGGGTGAAGGGGTTTAATCCTATCCCTCACAGCAAAAGTGAAACGCTTGCATTTCTGAAGCGGTACGGACATGCAGTAATCTTGCTTTACATCCAGCACTCTGACAGTAAAGACATCAATTTCTTATTAGCCTTAGCAATGACTTTGAAATCTGCAACAGACAATCTCATTTCTGACACATCATATCTCATTGCTATGTTGGGATGCAATGATATTTACAGAATTAATGAGAAGCTTGATAGCTTAGGAGTTAAATATGACTCCTCAACTGAACAATCAAAGCTGGAACTTCCTATGCCTGGCACTCCCATTCCAGCAGAAATCCACTACACTCTCCTTATGGATCCAACCAATGTTTTTTATCCTGGAGAATATGTTGGCTATTTGGTTGATGCTGAAGGTGGAGACTCATTTGGCTCATACCAGCCAACATATACATATGCCATTATTGTTCAAGAAGTGGAGAAAGAAAATGACAATTCGGGTTGTCTTGGAAAGTTTTACCAGATAGATATTGGATATAGTGAATACAAAATTGTTAGTTCACTTGACCTGTACAAATTCTCTAGGCCAGAGGAAGGTCCTCAGAATAAAGATAGTGCTCCATCTACACCTACAAGTCCAACAGAATTTCCGACACCAGGTCCCAGGACTGCACCTTCTTTTGCAAGTAGAGAAAGCAATAAGACAAGCTCTTCAAAACATCAGTCACCAAAAAAGATCAAGTTAAATTCTTTGCCAGAAATTCTAAAAGAGGTCACTATTGTAATTGAGCAGGCCTGGACATTATCTGAATCAGAACGGAAGAAGATTATTAGACGGCTTTATCTAAAGTGGCATCCAGATAAGAATGCAGAAAATCTTGACATAGCAAATGAAGTTTTCAAGCACCTGCAAAACGAAATCAACCGACTAGAGAAGCAAGCTTTTGTAGACCAAAATACTGAACGAACAGCAAGAAGGACCTTCACAACACCATCAGCTAGGTTTCAATCTGACAAAAGCTCTTTTCAGAGGTTTTATTCTTCTTGGAATCAAGAAGCAACACATCACAAGTCAGAGAAGCAACAGTATAAGGAAACGTTTGCCTCTACCACAGGCTCATATGATTCTAAACGTTTCTTTGTACCACCTACTTTCAAGACAGTTGGGAACCCTGTTGAAGCTCGGAGATGGCTAAGGCAAGCAAGAGCTAACTTTTCAGCTGCAAGAAATGATCTGCACAAAAATGCTAATGAGTGGGTCTGTTTCAAATGCTATCTCTCCACAAAATTAGCTTTGATTGCAGCGGACTATGCTGTTAGAGGGAAATCGGACAAAGACGTGAAGCCAACTGCACTCGCACAAAAAATTGAAGAATATGGTCAACAGCTAAACGGCCTTACAAAAGACGTTCAAACTTTAGAAGCCTATGGTGTGGACAGCTTAAAAACCCGTTATCCAGATATGCTCCCCTTCCCACAGATTCCAAACGATCGATTTACTTCAGATGTTGCCATGAGAGTCATGGAATGCACTGCTTGTATAATAATAAAACTTGAAAATTTTATACAAAATAAGATTATTTAAGCCTTAGAGCATATTCTTCTACATATGCAACTATAGACGATATCTTTTTAAAGCTATACAGCACAGGATACTAAATAGTACCACAAAGCCAGAGATCCCTTTTTAAAGGTCTCAACTGACCTGAGGGATGTTAATGTAAACTAGACTTCATTTCTGAAACTAGTGTTAGTAACATTCACTAATGTATATGTCAAGTATTGCATGATTAGAGATGAAGTTCTGCCACCCAAGGAGAGGTATTCTCGCTTACACAGATATGTCACCATAGTCATTCTGTTGACGGACACTGCCAACAACATTTACATGCAGCGAATGTTACTAACAAATTGTGTTTACCCTCCTTAGTTAATGCGCATCTTAGGTTTGCCGCCCCTTTAAATTATAACTAAAAATTATATATTTAAAAAATCCTAAATATGTTTTGCAAATTTCTTGCTGCTATTTAAGCTGTGATTATGCAACTGCATACAGTGCTTTTCTAGGCTTGAAAAAGGTACTTCATTATTTAGGAAGAATGTAGTTTAATTGGTAACTGTATATCATTTGAACATGCATTAACCATGCAACTGGAAGAGACCTGAACCATAGATACATAGTAGAAATATAAGATGTGATATGTGTTAAGTAACTCTAAATTATTTTTTGAAAGAAATTATTTGCTATGTGATAAGAATCCAGTATCTCTGAGCTTCAAGGTAGCATTTGTAATGTGAAAAGAACAGCAGAAAAATGTACATACAATAGAATGTGTATAGTTTGTGCATATAAAGAAAAAAAGCACTTTATGTGACCAAGGCTGAGCAGCACATTAGACAATCCCTTCAAGCAGATATTTCCACCTCTCTATATCCAGTATTGTTCTAGGTCAGTTTCCCAAGTCCCTGCTGGTTTTGTTGCTATGCAGCTTTTTGTGTTCCAGTAGCTTTACCTTTAAACTCTGGGTCCATAGAAAACTAATTTGCCAGTTATTTGTAGACAATTGCTTTCTTGGACCCCAGCCAAAATACAAGGTCTATTGAGCAATGTCTGTTTTAAATCCAAGCAAGGGTGTGGTGTTTTCCTTTTGAGTAAATCTCTTTTAATGGTCATTACACCTGAAACTGATTATTTTAGTGTAGGAAGACAAAGACCACCCTAAAGGTGCCCATACACTGCACGATTATCGTACGATAATCGTATGCGATCGGTTTTTCGTACGATAATCGAGCAGTGTGAACGGAGACGTGCGACCGTTTCTACTGTACGGTCGCACCTCTTCTGTCGAACCAGCATGTTCGAAAACCAGCCGGGAATCGTCCGATTCTCGGCTGGTTAGAACGGTGCTCGGAAGATAAATGCTGAACGGGCCGGTGTGCGCACGCGCACACTGCCCGTTCATCATTGCGGTCATCGGAAGCCCGCCCCTCAGGGGGGCGGGCTTGCGATGATCGAGAGTGCGATCTGCCTGTCCAAGATAGGCAGGTCGTACGTTTTTTTAATCCCTTTACAACCATCGCAAGACTAAAGTCTTGCGATGGTTGTAGAGTGTATGGCCACCTTTAGATAGATAAGCATGCCTAAAACTCCAGCAGGTGGGAACACGGGGGCTGTGGCTGGGGGGCCTTAAGAGTAGAGTTGCCAACAGGGGGTGACCTTGCACACCAGATATCACCTGTAACCTGTACTCTCTCTCTTGACCAAATTTAGTTGTCAGATGTTACAAGGTTTCAAGCTTTCTCACGTCATCTGTGTTCACCTAAAATATATTTCCAATTTTGCAGCCACATTTGAGAAACCCCCATTATATGTTTGTGTTCCCATTCACACAGTATATCTAAAATTATTAAATATATATCTTACCTTTCTAGCTGTTTGTTTGGAGCAGGATTATACATAGGACAATACAAGCAGTTTCTAGTGGTTAGAATAGATGGCATTGTGCAGATAAGGGGACAGACCGAGTGACAGTTTAAAAAAAAAAAGAATGGATAACAATCCCCCTATATAATAGCAAAGGCACACTGACAGGTCCTCTTTATGGAGACATTAGGGGTCTCTAGGACCCCTAATGTCACCTGTGGACCCCAAAAGAAGCTGATAAAGCAGAGATCTGCTTCATGGATGGTGGACGCGAACGAGCACATATAGACGATCGGCGGGCTATGGAGCCGCTGATCGCCTATATGTGAAACACCCGGTAACGGGTGTGTGCAAGGGTCGGGTCTTTTCTGCCTGTGCGTGCCCGCTAGGGGGCGCGCACGAGCAGAAAAAAAATGCCGTCTGGAGACGGCAACCCGCCACAGCTGCAGTGCCGTCCGTCCGTTTTTTTACAACGGGCGGACGGCAAGAGGTTAATATATAATGCCTTGAAGTCTTTAACCTTTTGTTAGAACACACAGTTCTGCCCATCTAGTTTACAAGTAATAATGGTATCTGCCAGCACAGTACAGACAAAGTTAATTATTTGATAAAAAAAAACTCCCACAGCCCCCTCAGACAGCGAGAAATTAAGAAGGATTTTCAGTCCTGGAGTAATTTTTAAATATTTTTTTTTCAAGATGTATACTATGTAAATGGCAACATGTAAAAACTATATTGTAGGTGTTATCCCTATTTGGCTAAAAAAGTGGAAATACACTTTAAGACCGCTAGATATATGATCAGTAGATGGCATGAGTTTAGGATCCTATGTAAATAGCACTAATCTCCATTGACTATTCCACCAAGCATCAATCCCGCTCTGAACATTTTCAGCATCTGTCAGCTGGTGGCTCCCTCTACCTGATTGATGAAGATCTGATACAGACTTGAGTTATCCACCGGTGAATGAGTCATTATGTGCTCAAGGTGGGACTTAAAACATGTAGATTGGCAAGGCAGGGTGGTGGGAGAGTATACTTATGTACAGTGCCCACCTCTCACCTTTGTCACCGGTGCATAGTAGAAATTCCCTTTAACATCCTGCTCTAATCAGCTGGATCTGGTTTAATACTGCAGGTCAGAGCAAAATAGTGTTTTTAACTTACTGCAGTCCCATAGCATAATCATGTCTATAACTGCCTTGCTTTTTTTAACTCGTCGTTGCATTTTATACTGTACAAAGTAGATTTTCATTGCATTTTTTAACAGGTGTAATACTAAACTGTAAACAAATTAATGTTAATATTAATCAGATGTGCACTGAAATGATTAGCTTTTTGTCTTTAAACAAATGCTGGAGCCTTATTTTTTTTAACAAATGTATAAAACCTATGGATGTTTTAAGTTATATGTGTTTCAGTTTATTGCCTTGTATCAAGTATAGCATAAAATATTGCCCCAATAGTTAAAGTTTTCTTTTATACAAGCCTTAAAATGCTGTTTCATCCACATTGGTCATTTTTAATAAAATGGTGAACCTATTTTGCCTATTTGCTTGATGTTTTATGATGGCATGCATGGTTTGTATAGCGCTGAAAGAGTATGTGACAGTCCACTGTGAAAACATTGCTTGCTTCCACGTTAGCAGCAGTGCATAGGGCAGAGAAGGGGCCACTTATAAATGCACATAAACTGAAAGCTACCAATATCTGCATTTAATACGGGAAGGTTTTCATATTATTTGCATTGCAAAATAGTAATAAGCTATGCACTATAAACATTCTGCTAAAGT